GTGTGCCTTGTCGACTCAGTTATATATATATATATATTGTATGTATGTATATATAAAATTATATGTAGGTATATAATTTTTATATTAAATATATTCTTATTATTTTAAGTATTTCAAAAAATATATATTGTATACATATAAATATACGAGAGTGTACTAAATAATAAATGAAACAAGTTGTACAAATGGCTCACCCACGCGTTGCTCCACCGTCGCCCGATGCCTCCTAGGCCCCCTCCTCCTCTGTCGTTGCTTGGCCCTTCCATCACACTCGCGTAACACTCACTCGCGAACTACGATTGCGGTTAATTACGATATGCGCGTACCGCTAATCACCACAACGTACGATGCTCTCCACAACGCACGGCATTTCCGATACACCCGGCAAACCACGCACGGTTCGTTACGTCGCGGCGAAAGGGAATAATGCGAAAATCACGCGATTGTGAGTCGCGTCTACGCGCACGATAAGCGAAGCGGACGAGACGCCAAGGGCGAGAGGGAGTTTCACGTATCACCCGCCGCGACGCGGACGACGCGACGCTACACCTGTTGCATCAGGTGCACCTTCGTCTTCGTGCACTTTCCGCGCTCTAACCAACAATTAATGCAAATCGATAGACATCGATAGACAGACATTCGCGTTCTAGGCTGATCGCTTACAATCTTAATTACTTCGATCGATTACGATATAATGCGAACGAAAGATCACGCGCGATGAAATCGACAGATATCCGCGAAATAAGATATTCGAAAATATATATGATCATTTTACGCCGCGGATTTCTCTCGCGACGGATGTCGGTCGAATGAATTTCGCGAGATTGCGGGGCACTGTATTCGCAATGCGTAACCGACATATAACGAACTGCGGAATTTATCGCGAATGAACAATATCTACTTACTAAAGCGCGTCGCGACGCCGCGATCAGTTCTCGAGCCGACTCATCGTTCAGAGGCGACGCTGTCGGCAACTTCATCCGAATACCGACGGTAGTCAAATCAACGATTAATTGGTTAACCGTGACAAACCGCTCGATGAAATGTAATCGAAAATCTGTATTATACCACGCGCCTCGACTTCTCAGATAATTGCGAAACACGTGTCATCATGATGAGCGACCGACGATCGCGATTTATTATCGTTTTAATCATTCGGATCTGATCCGCGTATTACTTCGCGCCGCTAATCCGGAAACGATGAGCGTCGGACGATCAGCGAAAAGTTCAAGTAGTTCAACGCGCGACACGCGCGAGTTCGCGCACTGACGAAGGGATCCTCGGCCAAGATACAGCTTAGATGAATGACTATCGTCTTCCGACACGCTAGTCGTAAAGTTTGAAAGACATGATTATGCGCGGTCCGATACCGCTAACTCTTCGTAAAGAGACCGATCGCCGAGGAGTTAATGTGACGTCGCGACGCACCGAGCGGCACGCGTCGCGAATTCGGACGACAGCGCGGCGAGGAGGTTAGGTTAGGTTAACAAACCGCACGTATGTGCGGTTATACGCGTGCAATTAAAACCAACGCCGCGGCGCGCGGCGTCAAGTAAGTATACACAGTCGACTCGCCGTTTTCACGAGCAAAAATGTGTGCTACGAAATACGAAATATTTAACGCATTTCAACGAAACGTATGAACGTCGCGAATACACCGTTCTCCGCATTCTGCGTTAATTATTTACTTTGATTATGCCAAGGTTTTTCCATGACCGACCGGTTCTTGATTTGGCGATTCGTTGTGTCGCTCGATCGGCTATCAATCCGGTTGAAGAATTATATCCGGATAGATGGAAAATTTGAAATGCGACGTGAATCCGAGTGTCGTCGAGGAGATTCTCGCCCGTGGGCATCGTGACGGAGAGCAATTCCTACCTCCCTCACCCCGAGAGCTCCGATTACTTACTTCCTATCGCAAGTAAGTAAATCCCACGAAATATCCGCTTTGATATGCAGTCGTTGCATTAGTTGTTATAAGAGTTGGAAATAATTGTGCGGGTTGATAATCACTTTCGTAGAGGCGTCTCATGCATTTGTATACATGTGTGTATTATGTGTATTTTAGGCGAAGCTCTGAATGTATTGTGATGACACACATGGAGCAGCCACGCGCCTCTAGCCGCCTGCTTGAGTTTCAGCGTACGGAACGATAGCCGAGGCCGACTTTGTCAAAATAAACAACACGCCGTACGTCACCAAACAAACGTTGGGCAATCGAGCATCATCAGCCAGTTCGTCGCAGAGTGTCATCCCATTAAAAAACGCCACGCTGTAACATATAGAGGTATGCCGAGTATTCTGCTTTTTGCGTACTTAATCATTGATGTTAGCTGCACCACGGCTCTTTGACTACTTCTACTTGCATTACTCGATTTGGCGATTCATATATTATTTCGTGCTCTCAATCCGATGACGAATTGCAGCTGAAAAGGTGAAAAATTCAAAGAATACTCACGAATCCAAGCGCATTAAAGAGATTCTTGCACGTGGATATTGCAAAGCAACTATTTTATAATTTCGATTTCCTAGCACTTCGATTTTTATTTTAAATACGAATTTGAAGCAAAAGAGAAAATAGTTTGTTTTCAGTTATATCGTTTTCGTTATATCGTACTATTCAAAACGAGTAATCTCGTATCGCGAAACACCGGGACTGTTCCGATAGCCACACGCGGACCTTCTTTCGACCCTCAGATGCGCTTTATTGCAACCGACAGATTGTTCCGCGTTGGTAGAAACGAATAATAAATCGCGGAAATTAAATTACCGCTATCGAATATCGACGCATCCGCTGCTATGAACGATGTACGAATTACAGCGGTCACGAGATGACCGTCTTTCTCGTTCTCCATCTCGGCGCCCTGTTTCATTCTCATTATAAAAAAAAATTGTAATTTGATATATTTCTGCGGATATGCTTTCCGTAATTCCGGAGCATTCGAGCACGTTGACGAATGACCTGATAAAAAATAAATAATTATTCTTAACAGAATACATGCTATTACAAAATTTTCATAGTTCCGCAAAATGTGAATTGTGTATAATTTGTACGGAGGGGAAAAGTTTTTGATAAGAATTACAAAATATAATATAGTAATTTGAAGAAAGCTAACAAATCAGGCACACGATTGGGAATTATTATAAAGGGAGAGCATTAGCTTTTACTAATTTACGAGATTATCGCGCGAGTGGTGACCCCTGTGGCTTTACGTCACACGCAATCGCTGACGACAATAGCCGTCGTTCGCTCCTGAAGGGAACACTCCCGTCTCGTTCCCCGAGGAGGATCGTGTTTGAGGTAAGGCACCGTAATGCTCGAGCGAGCGGCGGCGGCGGCGGCGGCCGGAACGCCGGCGGCCACGAAGATCCCATCGTATAAAGGTACACCGGGCATAGCGTGCGGAGTAAATGTTCCAATCGTCGTCGTGCCCTGTCCACAAATTATTCCTCGTGTTCTGCACGATGCGCAGCACGAGCTCGGCGCGCACACGCGCGCATCGCCTCCCCGAGTACGGTGCGCACGTACGAGAGTTCACGGCTCCGCCACGGCGACGGACGACGGCGGGTGCAGCAACTCTTCCGCTCATTCCGAGAACCGAGTATCTCGTCTGCGAGAGACGCCGCAGAGAGAGAGAGAGAGAGAGACCCCGGCGTCTTGTCTCGTATGCCACGATCTACCTAGCCGGGACTCGCGATACCCTTCCTCTCACCCGCCCTCTCGACTCGCAGGGCGCGCGGTATTCCGAACCGACCAGTCGGCGCGGACAACGGTAGAAACGGCTTCAGGAAAGAGAAGTCGCACGAACGAGAAGGAAGAGCGACGGCGGAGAACGGTAGCACGTGTGGCTACATCGATTCGTTTCTCGTCTTCTTGCGGCGAAGTAGTTAAGACGTTTCTTCTTCCCCCGGGGGCTGGCGTCGTGACGCGAACGGCTCGTTCCGAGTCGAGCTCTGTTATTATTATCTGCTTGCACTGTTAACACGCGCGATTGTCCCGAGGCGTTTAAAAAGCAAAAAAGCATGATGTTCAGGCAGAATGAAATGATAGAAGGAAAAAGAGCGAGCTGTTGACAATGCAAAGCACGAAGAGTGTACTAACATATAGATATAGTATCTAATCTATTTTTAAAAATTGCGAATATATTCTGATGCTTTCAAGCAAATTATATATAATATTGATTATATATATTATAATATGATATTATATACTATCAATCTTGCCAACTTTGTTGAAAATTAGCATCTCGAATTACGAGAATCGATGATGAATAAAGAATTGGGCGAACAGAGAGGCATTCGACGGTCTATTCTCTTCGAGCGGACGAATAGTCAAGGTGCTCTCGTTTGTTTCTCGTTTCGAGTCGTGTCGTTTGCGTCGTGAGCAGCTCGGGCGAGCACCGCCTATCTCTCATCTGCCGTCCACCTGTGTTCCTCGTATTGTCAGCACGTGGAATCCCGTGGAAATTAACGATTGACCCCCGCAAGAGAGTCTGGCGCTTATCTGGCTCGCTCCATCGCGGGCCGCGCCGCGCCGCGGCCGCGCGGTTACGGGCTCCCATGCGCGCGATCGCAGATACAGCGGCGGCGGCGGAGGCTGTGCGGTCGAATAAGTATATCGCCGACTGACGCATTTACAGCGCGGATACGGAATATATACTCGAAGGCTCGAAAGCGAAATGGAAATTGCGGGATGCGAGTATGGCTAGGCAGCGAACGTACTTAACGTACATCTATCACCATTAATGCCCTGTTGTTGCTGACGATGCTTCTTCGAAAATTGAATGTTGCACGAAAACCTGTCCTCTCCCCGCCTGTCTTCCGTGTATAGTACCCCCGCCGAATTAGTCACGTCAATGTCAAATTGGCCACGTGAATCGCTGCCTCTTTCAGCTGTTGCACAATACGCGGGAAAAACAATGCGGGACACAATACAGAATGGAGGGTGACTAGGAGCATTTCAAGAGCGCATTAGCCGCGATCGATTGAAACGCACAAAAAGCAGGTGCTTCTCCTCGGTTTCTAGCAGCGAGCGAAACAGTTTCTTTGAGAGAATGAAGCCGATGCGAATCGCTGGAACGAATAGAGCCGACAGGTTCTAGATCCTCTCCTTTCTTGGCTCCCATCGTTCTTACCGCGACTCTGACGTTTCAATTAAATTCAAGGCGCGATTCCGCGTCTTCAAGCGAACTCCGTTGGCGATGCAAATAGAATGAAAGTGATAATTGTACATGCGCTTCCCTAGAAACTCAATATCTCATTTTTCATCGTAAACTCACTCGCACTTAATATATTGTAATTAATTTTATTTTTCTTAACGCAAGGTATTTTAGTGGTGTTATATTTTTTATCTTCATCTATAAAGCATATATCAATGAGATAATATGTATAATAATGTGTATATATATATGTAAAGATAATACTTTATAAATTTAGATATATATATGTTACGAGATACAAAACGTTAGTCAATTTGTAACGATGCATTATTATGAATATGAAACAACATTTTCTCGAGCCATAAGTTACTGACAATACGCTGCATTTCTCTCGGAAATATAATAGTCCTCGCGAACATTATGCTTTCGTTGCTTTATCAGATAGGTATCTTGGAAAAGAGATGTCTCAAAACAGCAGCCACGTAACCCCCCGGGTAGAAAAAATAAAGATAAATAATATTACTGCCGCACGTGCGAGAATGACGTGAAAGTCGAAAACGAATGTCACGACGCTAAGAAGATCTGAAATTGTTATCAGATGAAAACATGTTGTGTTCTTCGAAATTTAAAAAAATGACACAAGTAAAATTTAAATTATAAGATTCACTTAATTTAATGTTTTGCACGCGGAACGGAGCCGTGAAAGATATTTTATACTATAGATCAAACTTAACAATCCTGTTAATCAAAATCTACGGTATGCTCTGTCTAGCTTTGATCCATAGACACCTGCTCGCTGATAAACGGCTTCAGGGTCCGCAGACGTCTCGTAGAAAAACGAAATCAGCGTAAGAACCGCGCCCATGCCGAGCGACAATCCGTTAAACCCACTCTGGACTGCGTTCAGATATCATCGCGAATGCTAAACAGAACAGAGGGGCTACGCCGCGCGCTCGTCCTTCTTCTCGTCGCTGGTGACTTTTGCTCGATACGCCACGGTCGATCCCACCCGCGAGGATGGGCGACCGTTTGACGGCGTACACGTGGCAAATCGATCGCGATAGCGCGTACGCAGGAAGTCTCCGCCGATTTATAACGCATGAAATCCTCTCACCGGCGGAACGTCGGCCGAAAAGAACCCAGGAGACAAAAGAATACATTGATTCGAAGTGTTTTGTCATTGCGCCCGCTGATAACGCGTTACACCCCGGCACGTTTGAAGCATTGTGCTCGCACGCTGATTTGAATTTATAAGCGCCGATGCCTCGTTGCTCGTTCGAGAGCCTCTATTGTGCGGCGAATCGAGAGGCGTTATTCTAACGCGTAGACAAACGTCTTTTCCGGTTGTACGTTGAAGTACAAGTTACGGGACAAGCAGAGATCGAAGTTGATATTAGAACGCGTTATTTGAGCGTAATATTGAACTTTGAAGTTATACACAATACATTTTTCCATAATCTGTGCAAATCAGTTAAACGCGAAATGATATGTATGTAGCTACAATAATTTTTTGAAATAATTATTACGGCAATTCGATAAGTATTCTCTAAAAAGATAATATACATGTAAATTATTGTAGGAAATGACTTTTTGCGGAAAGTGTGCCGTAAATTCTGCGGGAGTGGTCTAAATTGTCCATAACGCCGTTTATTTTCCCCGTCCATCTCGGGTTCTCGCCGCGTATCTCTCCGCGCCTATCCGGCACGGTTATTTGCAGGAAGGAGGTCGGAGGAAGCGTTTATATAAAGAGAGACGATCGTCATCGCGCAATGAGAGTATAGGTAGGTAGGTGCCCCGTACGTGGGCAAGTCAGGAAACGAGGGCACTCGAGGATATCAGAGAGGATACCAAGTAGACCCTCCCCCCTCTCCTCTACCTCTCTTTTATTAATAGGGACAATCCAACGTCTGTCACGGGACAATGGTCAGGACTACGCCCAGCATATCGGCCTCGTGTATGCTAAAGTGTATCGCGTCGCGGTGTATTGGATCGGCGTACGTGCTTATATCGTATAGGTCGTAAGTTCGTGCGGGTTCGGCCGGCATACGTGTTTCGAGGTGGCACACACGTGTCCTGCACCTCCGCGACCTCGGGACTCGTACATAATGCCCGGAGAAGAGGCATTCGGTGCATCCACCGTGCAAACGGGCCAACTAACTCTTCTCGGTCCCGCACGCTCGTGCCACGAGTCCATGACAGCAGGCACTCCTACGTGCGAAGCGGCGTCTTCCTCTTTTTCTTCGCGACCGATATATCTTCGCTACCATATATATTGCCATTAGCGACGCATTACGCCTCCTTAAAATAACATTATACCGTCGACGCGATCTTGCGAGGACATTTCATAAACACACATTACATTTTAACGTAGTAATCACTGAATGGACTTCCATTATCAAGCGGCATTTTAATTATTACAGCTAAAATTAAGATTTGATACGATGAGAAAATAACAGTTTGCTTAAAAGAATTGGCCTAATTTCGATTGTCCAAAATGTCTTAAAATTAAATAGACGTCGCGATAGACTCGACGGCTGAAATATTGCAATCAACGGTAGCGCCGATCTGTTTACTATGCAAACGATCCAACTAACTTCTGTGTCCTTCGAGCTCGTGCCATGACATCGTACGAAGGAAGTCCCCTTCTCTGCCTCAAGAAGGTTCTTACATATTCAGGAACCTTCTTCCATGGAACCCGATAACTGCCCGCGAGGTCACGCGTCGAAGCACCGAGCGGACCGATCGACTCGCCGATCCGGTCGGAGTCCTCTCGTGAGCTTATATATAAACAGTCGTTCCA